GATCATGTTTTAAACAGGCAGGCAAATTGGGTGATTGTCTGAGCCCCTAACAAGATCAGTGATCGACGGCGTCGAGGAAACAGAGCACTGAACTGATTGCGTCAGAAATGATGTATCCCTAAAAATCATTCACAAGACTGAGTCTCACCACCGAGCTACATACAGCTGTGCCATGCCAAAGTGGCGCCACATGCATTGTTTGTACAAGCTGAGTTTTTGTGAATATGCCGCGAATTTGTTTTTGGCGTAAAGTAAAAAACCCCGAATGGCGACAAGTTAGCACCAACAGCAAGTGTAACAGCTCTGTATGTTTTGGCGAATCTTAGTCTGTTTTTAGAAATGCTTTATGCTAATGACTGATGGCTTGCTTTCTTTTATAATTTGGCTTAACATTTCACCTCACATCCCCGTAGGCAATCGAGCCTATTGATGGCTATCAAGTATCAAAGCTTGATATAATGCAGATAACGTTCATAGATTCCATTTATCAGTAGGCTTTTTTCCTGTGAAAAAGCAGTATAAGGCTTCTAAATTCTCCTAGGAGTTTGAGCTTTTTGACTTTGAAAACGAGTATAAATGGGTGTCGATGACAGTGATTACTCAATTGGCGCTTACCTCAACTGAAATTCCATTTTTCGGTTTTTTTCCTAGTCGCAGTTGTTCACACACAGCAACCTAATTCTAGTCTTGGGCCTCTTCAAACGATCTGCATGGCAAATTTCCTTGAGGTTATAAAAACTCATCTGCTTTAGCTTGGCACCGACTATATCACTTTTAACAGCTAAATTGCTTTTATGGGCTTTTAAAAGAAATCCGTTACTTCTCACATCCCTTGCAATTTCAAATTCAGAAACATGAGCAACACATACGTAGGATGCGCGTGACAAATGTGCAAAATGCGAACAAATTAGTACTGTGCAATTATTTTGCGATTAATTTTTTAGCCACGGCCTGCTGCCATACCAAAAAATTCTATGATGTGTAGCGGGTTCCGGCCTCCTACATCTGGTAATGTAGGAACATGCGCTCTTCCTCCGACACTGTTGGGTAATATTAGGCTGAGCTAAGAACAATGCCCATCGATCCTAATTAAGAAACCAAGGTGGGAAAGTAAAATTAAGGATCTATTAAAATGAAAATAAATATTCTGAAATTTGACAATACAAACAGTGTTTATCACGTTCTTTACCTCCTTTATTACGAAAGAAAATGTCTTATCTCCCTAATCAATTAACAAAAACAAATGTTTAGAGCAATTTTGATAAGAGTTAGGGTTTGCACAATTCAGAGTTAAAGTGAATGATAATTTCCTGGCTCGTGTATTAGCACCATTGTTTTCCCTAAAGCTGCAGTGAGGCCAAAAACGTATCACTAACCTGCGAAAGGGCTGAGAGTTTATGGTCATAACAAGGAGTTCTACGGTTGAGCGGCACCCACAACCTGCGATGACATGACAGCAAAACTAAACTGCTACTTTTTATTTACCACACATTCAGACAGTAGTTTTGAAAGCATAGGCACCCTCTAACTCCTTTGATGGATCATTTGCATCGAGTGCAAGTGATGTCTAAAGTTGACAGAATAGTAGAATTTGTGCCTGTGATTGTTACATGCGCGAATACTGCATATTAAGAGGATGAGGGTGAGTACATGATCCTAAATAATCCTTCTTAATAAAATGATTACCAATGCGGACAAGGAAATAGGTAAAATGAACCAAAGTCCAATAAACTCTTTATTGGCTTCACCGAGACTCAGTATATTGATAGAGTGTACCACAAGTAGCTCGGAAGCAGTCACCAGTGAAACGTTTTCAAGTAGAAGAAAGCACAGTTGTCGGAATTTAAAAAGCATCACTCATCATACACAGTTCATTACACTGCACTACAGTTTCCTAAAGGCCATTTTGTGTTGTTAAGCAGCAAATGTAATACTTTGCAGAAGGCTGCATTATGGTTAAGCAATTGAGCTAGAACTCGTGATAGCAGGCAGAGACATTTGCAGATTAGAGTCAGTTTGTGGTTCTGTAGCGTCGCCCGATTCAATGGTTAACTGGAAATCAAGAGGCTATTAAGCTATTACTGTTAATTTTCTCAGGACCACTAAGGTGACAACAACGAAATGCTGTTTGATATGTTGGCAAGGTCCAGGCCTCTGCTAACCTAGACCCTCTATTACCACTACTTTGTCAAGCAATGAGCGCAGAGCGTGAAAAGTTTCATCGATACACCCTTCCTCCCACCCATACGAGGCAGCTAAAATACTTATATTTTGCCATTTTTATGAACGCACCGTCTAATGCCATTCGCTATTGCTCTCGCTAATTCAATCCATTCACTCATGCTACTCGTTTCTTGTCAATAGCAAGTATCTGAACTGCGAAGTGATGTGGGACAAGATATATGCAGATACTGAGCACCAAATTCACTGCAACTGCGACTGCAACTCCGCTTCGTGCCACGCTTAGATATGGCATAGCTGTGAGTTGGTGCAAATCGGTTGCATTTTATTTAGCCTCCAACAAACGTAGAACTAGCTGCAATGGCCATCAGATGGAGTATAAATATAGCTAAATTAACACCAACGCAATGGCTCAAAAAATATTTTGATTCTGGCTTGAAGTTACACCAGCTTCGAGCTTCTACTGTTAAAAAGTTCATATTGCTAAGGGCCACGTCTACTGGCCTTGAGGTCGGTCGGTGGGAAGATGGGAGTTGGACTAAAGAGACAAAAGTGTCGGATCGCAGAGCAGGCTATGTTCACGAGAAGGTGAACTAATTTGTCGGCATGGCGAAGTAGCCCAACTCCTAGGCCGACGCGAGAATATAATTTTAAAGGCACTCTTCTATTTCTACTGCTTGCAGCAATCCAATGGTGTGGCAGTTGGTGGCACTGTCACGTGTTACTTCGTACTTACAATAGGTGACAGTGTTCGTGCATGATTAATGAAGTTGATGTAGCAGTGTGCTTGTACATCTGCACACATAAAAACGCCTGGAAGTCGGTCCGCTTTGCATCACTCAGGTTTTGTCATGTCCCTAGCGAAATTGGTCGGCTCTTTGCATCCGACGGTTTCGCATTCTTACATAAGCTTCCTTCCGACATTTTAAAATTCACTACCTTATCAATGGGTGCTGGAGCAACCTCACTTCACGAACACGCTCTTGCATACACCCGTGGTGCTAGCTTGACATTGCAATGTCAAGCTTGAGTCAAGCATTCAATACGAATATTTGCATGTGGCAAGTAATAGCATCTGCACATTGTATTCTCCTCAAATCTGCAAATCACGGCTACCCCATTACGCTCTTCATTACCGACTTCAATGCTCATACATTTTGTCACACATTGTCTCATCATCCGCTTGAGTTCAATGACCTGAACATCAGTTTCCAAACTCGGCGAAAACTAGCATAGTCATGACGCACTGAGTCACACCCTAGTACCTTTAAATAGCTGGCTAAAAGAAAGCGCCATTCACGTCACTGACACGAAAGGCACGTTCCATATCTTCTGCACAAAACCAATGCTGTTGGGACGGTCTGAGGAAATGTATGCCTCAAATATCTCTTAGATTCTAAACATGTACATCTTTTGTCAACCTCATATGCGCTGCAGGCACATAATTTTATTTGCTAATACCCAATAATTTTACCCCACTTTTGCTTTTTTAAAAAAGTAGGAATTGGGGAGAAGGTAGAGACTGAGAGGTTATAGCGCAAGTGTCAGGGAAGTCAGATCAAGTGATGGACTGAGGAAGGACGGTAGCCTTAAAATTGGCACCACACCTTAGGTGTAAGCTAAAGCTTAGGAGCAAGTGGGGGAATAAGTGTGAAAGAATTGAATGTGGATTGGAAACAATTAACATTGTTACTTATGTTGCTTCTCCTAATCCTCCTGTGCCCCATATAACATTTTCAAATGCAACACCAGTCCATGCTCACTCAGCGGATGAGATATGCTCTGATCACTATCTGCCTAAACAGAGAGCATCTGAAAAGAAGTTAATTTGATCAAGGTAAAAAGATTCAAAATATCTGAGAGTGTCTGTCCCTCGTAAAGCATGTTAACTAAAATTTTCCACTAATTTTAATGAAAAGCTTCTCACTATATGCTGTTGAAGCCAATCGGATAGCCATTTAGTAAGGGCACAGCTTGCCTATAATTCGATAAGCCTT